CCACGTTGTTAAGGGGTTGGGAAGTATGGGCTTCAGCAACAAGGACTTGGATTCCGCGGGTGTAAGTTCTGGTAAGCTGGGTTCTTGGCTCTTGGCTCCGGACCATTCATGAACTGATTGCCTCAACGGCTGGTTTCTTTTTGGAGGAGGCGCCTCTGTTCCGGGGTCTCCTTGGGTGGTTTAGGGTGCAGGATGGGGGCTTTGGCACGGAATCGTTGAAGGTGTCCAACAGCGGTATCTCCACATAAACTCCAGTAGAAGCCTGTGTGTTAGGATCCCCGTAGTGACCCTCATTAAGAAGGGACGGGGTTTTGTAACCAGGGATCTGCACTACTCTTGCCTCGTCTGAATCAGGGAAGTAGACTTCGAGCTATTTGTGGGAGGGTTCTTAGGCTGATTGAGCTGAAGTGTTTGATTCCTTGCCGAGCACCGGTAGGCAGTTGTGGATTTTGAAGGGCTTCCAGTCGGCAAAGCTTGACCGGCTTGACCGACAAGTCTCGTCCTCATTGCTGAGTCTTGCTAAGCTTCACGGGTTTGCGGTAGTCCAGGATGTCTGCGTCGGCGAGAGGCTTTCCATGAACGGCGATCAGCTTCCGGAATCTTAATCGGATTGCCAGATGCCTAAGGCACAGATTATAAATCTGATCTAATCAGACCAAAAGAGCCCCGAGACCGGCAGGGGACGAGTCTACCGGTACCCTGGCTGGCCAGTCGGCCAGCGGCGAGAGCAGCGGCCTGGCTCACTCAAAATCCGTGCTTACGACTACTACAATCACAATGGTCCGACTCGTTGTATTGCTGCAGCTGCTGTTGCTATTGAGATTGTTAGCGTTCTAATTGATCGTATTGACTTGACAAACTACCGCAGAGGCAAAGGTGCTGAAGTGTTTTTTCCCTGGTTACAGGTGCGGTCATGATGTTGATGGCGAAGGTAAATATTGCTGACGGTTATTGCCATCTGAGTACTCAGGCTACAGTAGCCAGTACTCTGCGTATGGTCGGTGGTCTCATTCCCCGCATTCGCGAAATTACAGACTGTCCCATGTTCCATTGGTGTCATCATGATCCTTGATACAACAGGTGTATGACCATTGAAACCCGGCGCAGTTCTGCACCGATGGCAATTCTACAGTGTGAAACATGCTTGGAAGTGCAGGATGCGATGTAGTTGGAATGTACAATCCCTGGGGCTCTTACCTGCTGGGCTTTGTGTTGAGTCGAGAACCTTTGCAGCTGCCTCCAGGCTCCTGCAAGTTTCCACCTAAGTGTGGGCTCAGAAGCATGACCCACAACATGCAAGGCCCACGAAAACACCAGGATCTGAGCTGTCCGCATAAGAGCATGCGCCATCTGGGTACTGTCTCGTGGAGCGTGGCAGGTGCGAGCTTCTCTGAGTGACTCCCGGCTGCATTGGCGCCATGGCGGTTCTCTTTTGCTGACGTCCGCTGTTTCCTGCGCCAACTGTCCAGAGATGCCTACGTTCGTGTGCAGATATCGCCCTCACTTGGGACTCAAGTCAAGTTTTCTGCCGGGGCACCATGCCTTCCGCGCAGGTGCTGCGGTGAAGCGCCCTCGTTTGGAGAACGGCGAGGAGCTTCGGCAAAGTTTGAGAGCGGGTTGCGCTCAGTGGCCACGGTTTTTTCGGTACACGACTGGCAACCGCAGTATCAGACGACTCGTGCTTCAACGCCGTGAGTGTCTGCTTCACCTCGACGTATTCTTGCTTGTCGTTTCACTGTTGCTCTGTACGCAGTTCTCTTAGGTTTTCTGATTTTGGCAAGGCTCCCCAAGCCTGGATGCAACAAGACTGGCAGTTCTTTGATTCAAATAACCCTAAACCTAAACCCTAAACCCTTGGTGCTCTGAACCTGCAGGCTGGCAACATCTCAGAGGAGCGATGCAGCTGGGAAGGGAGCTTTACAGCGCCTGGGCCTGGGATTTCTTTCGGTGGTGCCCTTTTGATGTCTTGAGCAATGTAGGGGCCTTAAATAATTGGAATAGGGTTTTGGGGGGCTCCTTATTACTAGTTAGAATATAATATCCCCACAACTCTATTCTGATTATTAAGGCCCCTACATCAATTTTATTCTTCCCTGCAGGTTGAACACCAGCGATTCGGAAAAGGAAAAGGCTGCTCTGTGCAAAGGTTGCAGTGCCCCATCAAACAAGTGAGCATGCTCCTCAAAACACGCCTCAAACCACAATCTAGGAACCAGGCGACTTTCATGGCCCTGAGTTTCAATGATTCAACCCTTAAACGCCTTAAAACCTAGTCTTCGGAACCAGAGCTAAACGCCAAGGCCACAACCTGGCAACTCCAAAGCCCATCATCTCCGCCTTGACCTCCCTGACATCTTCGGCCCTCTCCCGCAGATCTGGTGCTCGTTCCTAGGAGCTTCGAGGCCGGATCTGCAAACCAAGTCATGTCTAGGGGAGTCTGGGATTCCTTAAATGGGTAATTCCTTTCAAGAAAATTAGGAGGCTTGCACCCTGAAGCCAAGGATTTGTTGGCGTCACATCTCGCAGCTCGGCTGCAAAGAAGGGGTTTTCACACATAGGGTTGAGAGTTTGCAAAGAGGGCCATCGTCTGAGACCCGGATGCACAAAAAACCGACGGAATTCAAAAGGTTCAGAGTTTAGGGTCTTAAATCCTGAGCCAAGCGCTTCTTATCCTCGGATTGACGCCTCTGGCGACTATGGGCGTTCAGTAATTCAGTAAGGCGGTTCCAAGGCTTCGAGGACGAAGGATCGCGTGGTGGGGGCTGCAGACAGCAAATTGCAATTATGTTTTTCCCTCGGGGTGTTCGCGATTTGCAGCTTCTGAGCAACTGCAGAAGGCATCATTGCAAAGCAGAAAACAGCCGAAAAAAAGTAGAAGAGCACTTGGCCGCAGGCAGAGTGCCCCTTGCATCTGGTGCCGTGCCCACAGGTGCGACGTGACGTTGGGGGGCTTCGGGTTTAGGCATGGTGCCATTGCAGACTTGAAGGAGTGCTCTAAGCCCTCGTTAGATTTCCAGCAGAGGCTCTTGCAGGCTGGATGCAAAAATTGCATGGTGCTTTTCCCTCCGTGAACACTCAGCGCTTTTGTCGGATGATGACAGATGTCTGTGTCTTCCTCCCATTCCATGATCGTCTCCTCATCATCAGCATCACCATCATCACAAAACAAGCATCTTCTATGTCATCTTCATGTATTATTTTCTTCATCAGCAGCAGATCCATCATCGAAACTTGTGGCTGGAGCTTTCCATGTCGCTGGTTCGAGGCCCGAGCCTGAGGGCCTGTGGCCCACACCCCATAGGCACGCAGACCCCGATTGTTTTAGCTCCAAACCTGGGAGTTTTTTGAAAATAAGGGGTACCTTATTTCGGGGTCCTTATAATAAGGATCCTACTAATTGGGGTACAAAATTAGGGTCCCCGATTTTCGGAAACCCCCACCTGGTTTCCGGATGTCAGACAGGGCTGCGGTGCGATTTGCCGCCGAAGGGACTTGGCAGATGCTCGGCAGCCCCTCCTTGGCTGACACGAACAGGATCGCTCTAAATTCGGGTTCCGAATACCTATTTTTCAACAGCCGTGTCTCACAGCAATTGCGACAAGGGTGAACGCCTCAGCCGAAGAACCCCAAGTCAGCCAAGGCTCATGCAGTGAGCTGCCCAAAGAATTTCGAGGCGGGGCGGCGGAAGCTAACCAGAAGAAGAGCCATGCCTGTCAATGCCTCCTTCAGGAAGAACTCTAATGTCCAATTGTAGTCTTCGCACGGTCATCAGTGGATGACGATGGAGACGGGTGTGAGCCGCAATAGCCAGATGATGCTAGTGGTGTTTGGATGTTGGTGGCATTCAAAGCTCCTAAGTGCCATCTCGGAGAATAGCCGTGGTTGTGAAGTTGTGATCATTTAAGACGTTGAGACAGGGTTTCTGCAACCCCGGTGAAGGGAATTCATACCTCGAGCCCTGAGCCTTGAACCGAGCTTGAACCGTTGCCACGGGTGCATATTACACCTGCTACCTTGAACCGTCCTGTCTGCAAGAACGAAGTGAGTTTTTAGCTAGGATCCCTCCTCGGGTAAGCCTGAACGAGCGTAGATTCGGGCCACTGAATCCATGTACTTCAGTCGCAACCAACGGCAACCCGTGGAAGGAGTGTCCAATCTGCAAAGCGGAAGTGCCGTTTGGGAGCTCCCCGGTGGCAGGTGTTCTCTAACTTTGTAGAGGGTTGTTCGGAGAGTTTGGGAGACTTCAGACATTCCTGATTCATGCATACTTCGTTAATCCGCCGATTGGCTTCGCAGTTTTGACTGGCCCATCAAAGTTTCCTGCCAGCTGATCAGTCCACATGTCTGAGTGCAGAAGCCTTGTGCAAGAGTCCCCCGACTCTCCAAGGCATGCTGGCCCACCGGAAAGAGAAAGCCGAAGCTGTACCAGCATTCATCTTCCCTTCCATGCGGGATCTGTCTCGAGTGGTGTGAAGAAGTTGTCGTTCGACCTTGATGGGCCTCATTGTCACTGGCCATGCAAAACTGGCACGGCAGATCATGTGGTTTTTCAGCTTGGCATGAGGCGTTTTCACAGGAGTTGATGCAGATTTACAGTTTGGCTCGGTAGTCGGCCCGCTACAGTGCAGCAGCATTCTGTGGTGGGCTGCTGTGACGCGACAGGGGGTGGTCTGACTCAGAGTGCTAGGGTATGGCCGGCTCAAAGTCCTTCAGGCTCCTGGTTCTCGGACACCAGAGTGAAACCTCATGACTCTTGAGCGCAAGAGAGACCCCAAGCCCAGGAGCTCCACGTGCAGCTTCTTGAAGCAAAGCTGCTGGAGCCGCTAAGATCAACTTGGGACTGCGGTGCTGCGTAGAGTCGGGTAGAGTTCTTGTTCTCATGCCTGTGCCACGAGCATAAGATCGCGAAACCGTCGTTGAGTGAGGCGACGAAACTGCTTCATGGCTACAGCTCAACAAAGTAGCTCAGAGACCCGAGTGCTTCTCCTGTTCCTGCAAAGATGTCGCAGTCTGCTGTTGGTGCAACGCTGGGAGCCGCGGCTCTGCTTGGCGGCTGTGCCTTCCTGGCACCCTCGACTCCACATGCGGCCTCCGCGCCCGCCCATCTTCGAGGCGCCGCTCCGGGTGCCTCTTCCGCTGCCGGAGCAGCCGCTCCGCTCGCTGGAGCTGCTCTGCTTGCCACCGCTGCTGCACTAGCCAGACCGACCGAGTCCGCAACGACCCGCCGGGCGGCTGCTGTCAAGAAGAAGGGTGTGAAGGTCGTCCATGGCAAGGAGATCCCATGGAACCTCTTCACCCCGAAGGCCCCATATGCCGGGAAGGTCATCGAAAACGATGTGCACCCTCAGACCTTGACTGAGGACACTGGGGATGCCAACTGGGAGACTTGCCATGTGACCTTCGACCACGGCGGCAAGGTGCCTTACATTGAGGGACAGTCCATCGGAATCATCGCGCCAGGTCCTGACAAGAAGGGCGAGACCCCGGCCCGAATCCGCTTGTACTCCATCGCTTCCTCGGCGGTCGGGGACAATCAGAACTCCAAGACTGTTTCTCTGTGTGTGAAGCGCGTGGTCGAGCTTGATGGCAAGTTTGCCAATCGTGAGAAGGGTGAGGACAAGCCCGACAAGGCTGGCACGGGCTTCCCCGATAACCAGGTCTATCGAGGAGTCTGCTCGAACCACATTTGCGACATGTCGCCGGGAGACGACGTCATGATCACGGGGCCCACTGGCGCCGAGATGCTTCTGCCAGAGGATCCGGAGGCGAACATCATCATGTTGGCGACAGGCACTGGCATTGCCCCGATGCGATCCTACTGCCGGCTGCTCTTCCACGACGATGCAGGGGCCAGCGCAGATGGCGGCAGAAAGTTCAAGGGTTTGGCTTGGCTTTTCATGGGCGTTCCCTACTCCAAGTCGCTCCTTTACGATGACGAGCACCAGGAGTACAAGAAGAACTTCCCTGACCAGTGGAAGTACGACTACGCCGTCAGCCGTGAGGACAAGAACGCAGCAGGCCAGAAGATGTACATCCAGACCAAGATGGCAGAGTATGCTGATGAGCTCTGGGAGCTTATGCAGGACGAGAAGACCCACGTCTACATGTGTGGTCTGAAAGGCGTGGAGTTCGGAATTTCGAATTTCGAAATAAGTTCTGAGCTAAGTATAAGATATGGTTATAGAAGTAGCCATATTCACAACATTTCGTTATGGCCGCGGAAGGCATGGAGTCTGGCATGGCTGAGTGCTTTGGCCCAATCGCAGAGAAAGCCGGCAAGGATTGGGCGGAGTTTGCCAAGGCCATGAAGAAGGCCGACCGCTA